CAGGTACGGCATGAACGCAGTTACTTGGGTACTGCAATCCTAAATTCGGCTTTTGTTTTCAATGGATTATTTACCTTGACTACATTACACGGTAAAAGTTTACAATTGGGTGCCCCTTGTTTTTTGGCGATTCTTTTTTGACGCCAAGATCGGCGCCGGGAAGGCACAATTCAAGATGGCCGCTATACAAAATCAAAATAAGAAGTCAAAGAATCACACAAACTCTGTGTCCATGTACACATCGATCTGTTTTCACTTAAAAAAACATCCTAGAATTGCACAAACTAGGCATTGCGCACTGGCTTAAATTTGTCCATGTACACATCAATCTATTTTCATTTAAATAAAATCAGGAAGCTAAAACAAAGTTAAAACTATCATGGTAACCAGAAGTGAGGTTTCATCGCCGAAAATTTGAAAAAAATTGTCGCTAATCGAAGGGGCACCCAATTCTACACTACAGCCCATTGCACGAAACAAATATTTATTTAAATTTATTTACGTTTAGAAAAATACTGCTATTCAATGAATCGTAATTAAACAATCAACTTCTGTCATTTTCAAACTTCCCGTAGATTGTGCATCTTAGTGATAAGCAAAGGCCAAGTGTATTTATCTGACAGAATTATTTCTCTTGAGATCAGTCGCATGTTTTAAAAAAAGAATATCAAACTTATTAATGAGATGACTTTCAATTTATTGAAATTATATTAAATATTGAAAATCTAGCTACAATAAAAGTACTTCATTCTAACAATACAAAAATAATTCCGTCTTACGTTTTATCGACAGCTATTACAATAAATAAACAAATAAATAAACATAAAAAACAGGTTTGTTATAAAAGATTATACAGAATTGTTTTAAATGTCTCAATAAATTAATTCAAAGATAAAGACAAACATTTGCATCCAACAAATGCTCTCCCAGACGAAATTTGACCTTGAAAGATTATAAATTCAAAAATGTTTCTCAGAGATAGAAGTACATCCATGTGAGTGGATAAAACATTGGGATATCTGCTTATCAAGGTGAAATCTGCTAAAAATTTATTTTTTAGTCTAACATGGATGAAAAGCCATTGATTAAAAACTGCACAATAACGGCGCCATTACCATTTGTCTCAGCAAAAATACATCTCACATTTTAAGATAAAGATTGGAAATCTTTAGAACCAAGTGAGAAACGTATCAGTTTTATCTTTAGTTATGTTAAAATATTCTTTCTTTGTAAGCAATAGCTCTAATAAAGATATTGTTTTATACAAATTCAATAACTTTATTTGTTTATATCAATCACGATATTTCAATATATTTTTTCTTTTAAATCCAAATTTTGGTTGAAACATTTCTCGTAGATAGGATCTTTGACTCTAAGAAAGGAATCTGAATCTTAGAACTCGTTTTCTAAACAAAAAGGAACATTCGTCAGTAGAGTAAGACCCCGCTTAACGCTGTTTCGGTTTAGCGCTCTTTTATTTCAACCCGGGGATTCCACGAAATCGCTCGCAGCATACGGGGATTCCCCGAAATATTATGCAGAGATAGGTTTCAAGTATATATCCGAAAGAGTACTTGTATTTCTTGTTTGGTGCGGTATTGTACAGACATATTTTGAAGGGGTAAATGTGGAAGATGTCGAAGAAATAATTCAAGAAGCAGCGGCTAGTCTTTCTAATGATGAGCTCAAGGAATTAACTGAACAAGAAGAAAACAAAAATGTTGACAGCAGTGATTCAGAAGAAGAGCAAAAAGAACTTTCGATGGCGTTTGTAAAAAGGAGTTTGTCTACCATAACTGAAATAATGGATCAATTCATTGAAAATGATCCGAATTTTGACAGGAGCTCAAAAGTAAGGCGTGATGTTAGAGATGCTCTATCCATTTATGAAGAACTTTTAAGAGAACAACATTAGATGCTTTTGTCACAAAAAGGCAGAACACTGAAAACGCGGAAGGCTAACTAAATATGACTGGCTTAGAATTTTATTTGTTTTTTTAAGAATATTCGTTTTGTTATTTATATTTTGTTTTTATTTTTGCAAGAAATAATAATGTGGTATTAATTTGGGCTTTAAGAAATAAATGTTTGGTTTTATTTTTATTAAAAAAAACGTCGTGCTACAAAACATCGTGGGAGAAAACATCGCAAAGAGATAACATCCCAGTTCTAAAACATCGTGATACAGTCCAAATATCGTCGTCGAAAATAAAGCGGTTCAAAAACTTCGCAGTTTAAAAACATCGTCGTCGAAAATATCGCGGTAAAATGGTAAAAAATGGTAAAAAATCGAAAAGTATCGTGGTAACAAATACCAATAAATTATCGCAGGACGATAACATCGCAGACCTGCTTTTTTCAGGCTTTAATAATTGTAAATGGATATTCCCATAATGATTTGTGAGCGCGAGATGGAAAGAAAGATAATTTTTAATTTCATGTTTTTATTAACTAATAAATTTTTGCTGAAAAAGTAAGAAGGAAACTTAATACTTAAGAATAAACTGAAGCAGAACAAGAAATAATTTTCATTATAAGAGTATTAGATTGACAAAAATGAAGAAAATAATCTCATAATTAGCAATTTTTTATAGCTAAGGTCATGCAGTTACGTAGCTTCCTTTTTCTCAACATTTTTAGATTATACTTTTAATGAAAAATTACCAGTAAAAACTTTACAAAAAATGATTTATTAATGACCTTTGTTAGTCAACTATGTCAGTATAAAATTCTATTAAGTGCTATAAGTTGCCTTAATTTATGCTTAAATTTTCTTCTTACTTTTTCAGCAAAAATTTATTGGTTAATAAAAAATATGAAAATAAAGATTATCCTTTTTCCATCTTGCGCTCACAAATCATTATGGAAATATTCATTAACAATTATTAAAGCCTGAAAAAAGCATGTCTGCGATGTTATCGTCATGCGATGATTTGTAGATACTTTATATTTTACCGCGATATTTTCGACGACGATGTTTTTAAACTGCGAAATTTTTGAACCGCTATATTTTGGACGACGATATTTTGTAGCACGATGTTTTAGAACTGCGATGTTTTCTCTTTGCGATGTTTTCTCCCACGATGTTTTGTATAACGACGTTTTCGCCTTGCGTTGTTTTGTCCGCGACGTTTTCGTCCGCGATGGTTTCGGCTCTAACCATTCCATCTACACACCAATGGTACACAGGAACCTCTCCTGGCTCCCTAATGGAAATCAAATGTGACTGTGTCTCTCAGACTGCTCTGGCTAGACTAACAAGTGGCCACCTTAAATGTCTTTCCTTTGATAGTGGCAGAAAAATCAACCTCGATTGTAGAAAATGCCATGACCATCCAGCTTTACCAGATGACATACTCGGTTACATCTGACTTCCTAAGGAGGACTTAACATCCAATCCCCTCAGTGTTATTGATTTTTTGGCGGTCAACAACCTTCTGGAGCTGATCTGACATATGTCAAATCTTTCGAGGATAAGCAACAGCAACAACATTGTGAATTATAAGCCATTTTTAATCCATGAGTTCCTCACTTTCTCACACTTGCTGTCAAATTGAGAAGCTTAGAATGTTCTTTCGGTTTGTTAAAACAAGGAATACACTTTACTTTTTTCTTTGGAGAGCAGCTTTATCTTTCTGATAAGGCTGTAGATAACAATTAATGATGACGGAACAGTCTTATGAAATTTTCTAGTTTATTATAGCGTTAACACAAGGATGTTCACTTTTCCCTAAACACAGCATTCAGCAATAAACATTTACAATTCTAGAAATATGGGGAGAATTTCCGCTTTCAAATGGGACACTGTCTCCGCTCCTAATAAGTTTTTTCAAACAACTGACTGTTTTCTCCCTGGGAACATAAGAAAGCAGCACGGTGAAAGAAATAAAAATATATTTTCTTTATCATTTCAAGAATTGTCTTGTTTTCATTGTATTTTTTTTAGCCCAAGGGGCTATTAATTTCGTATTGGCATTTTGCTTAATCTGTAATAAGTATCTGCATAAATGTATGTACGTTTCTCGCATTGTGATAAAACAACGGTACTTATAGCCATCAAATTTTGAATAACGTACGTCACGTCTCCACATAATATGGGCATCTGGAAGCCCAAATTTGGAATTTGTTTTATTATCTTTTTGATATTTTGTAAAGCATTTACGAGTTTTTGATTAAGAAACGATTTCAAAACAAGCAAGGGCAGCACTGTACGAAAAAAAAATTATCTCCAGCGCGCTAGACTGTGTATCGGAAATTCTAAAGATATGCTCTTTTAAATATTTTGTGATATTGCTGTTGTATTGAATTTTACGGTTTAAGTGCGAAGACCATGACATTTAATAAATAAAGGTAGCACACAAAACATGAAAAAAATGCCTCTTTGGGCATAATATAAAATCTAAGAGCTTTCAGTTTTTTTTTTTTTTTTTTTTTTTTTTGTTAAATATTGCAGTCATATATAGCACGTGACGCACTATTTATTACTTATACAAATTCTTGCAATAGATTATTTTTTACGGCGCTTGAGATTTCTTGATAAACCGTCATTATCTGTAAATCTTATCATGGAAATGATAACGAAACTATAGTTTGATTTCCTTCGATTAACTTTTTGATTGGATGTCTACGTTATAAAATGCGAAGCGTATACATTGTCCGAACATCTTACTGTGAAGTAAGCTCTCTTGCAAGTTTCTGTTCAGAGACTAAAAGTGATTCAAAATAGTATTTTTATAGTATAAGGATGTTATGTGAAAGATTTCTTTATTTTAATCATAACTATAGTAGATGAATGTTTCGTGTGAAGCAAATGTGATGTAGTAAACTTCATTATGTGTTTTCAAAATCATATGTCGCTTATGAAAACTTGAAAATATCACACTGAATTCCAAATATATCAGAAATTTCAATTTCCTTGATATCCTCGATTATCAATATATAAATATATATATGTACCGAAAATGAAAGAAGAGAAATGAGTATTTTCATTTGTAAAGATGTTGAGCTTTTTTAGTTTCTTTAATTTTTCGATAAAGACACTAAACACAAATTTCAATAGCTATGCACGATACAATTTACCTTGGTGCTTTAAAACAATACTTTAAAACAAACTTGGTACATTAAGGTGTACGGTGTCTTTGTTCGAAATACTGTGTAGAATTACAAATATAATAAAGAAAGTATATAAAAGTATTAAAATTTCAGAAGAGGAAATAATCATTATATTTGGAATAATTTTTCTTCATTTGAATGCATCATCAAAACAATTTAGCTCAATCATAATAAAGTTCAGACTTTAGCGTACCACTGTTTATCTGTTCAATATAATGCTGTTTACCTAGAAAAAAGTTTATATATTTAGCATTATCTATAGGACCTAAAGTTCCTCCAAGTTCTTCTGGGAGAATTTCGGGTGGCACATGCTTGTGAAATTCTGTGAAATCATTTGTATGGATAAACACCTGAAAAACAAACACAAAATTAGAACTTATATTCGTTTTCCTTTTTGAATGTATTTTGAATTAAACTTTTCAACTTGCTAAAAACAGTTTTCTAGAAGGAATGGTTTCTCTTAACATTTGTTAAATAAAATTTATAAAATTTTAATATTGTAATAATTGTAATAAACAGTTGCATGTAATCTCAGTTAGCTTTATCTTTTAAAACTAATTTACTGATTGTGGGGTCATAAAAGGAATTTAATAGCGAAAGTTTTTGAAAATGAGTCGTATTTTCACTTGGATTCCATTGCAGGACTCTGGAATAACTGCTTTGATTTTTTTAGTTACATTGCAACGTGAACTGTATCTGAATTTCTCACAAAAAGAATGACGTTAAAACATTTCACTGATCCATTTTCTCACTGGAATTCAGAAATTAATCTTTTTAATTTTCTCCCTAGTTGTTTAATCATGGAAGATGCATTTAATTGCAATCTATTCGTATTTTTTTTAATCTGCGAAGTATTTTAACAATAGATTATTAACTACTATGCAATTTTTAAATTAAACGATTCATTATATCGTTTCTGAAAGGAATTAAAAATTTGTGAATGAGAATAGAATAAAAATACTTTTAAGTATCAAATAACCTTTATCTGACTTGCGGGTACTTAGTTACATTTAGTTTCATATATGCATTTCGATTTAATGTGTGCTTTAGATCAGCAGTGAGAAATTAAAAACATACTATAATCTAACAGTTACGTGTCTTGTCTTTTTCCTTTGTTGGCTACTGAAACTTTTACTTGGAGATTTCAAGACAATTTTACATTAAAAAAAAGAAAAAAAAAAAGGCAATAATTACTTACATATTTTACTACATTTTACTGGATCTCTCTCACACGATAAGTATATAAAATAAGTAAATTCTTTCATATGTTTATGCGTTTACCGTTTCCTTGATTTAAGTAATATAAAAGTATAATTTACTACAGTAAGTAATTTTGTAAAGGTATTGCATTAAGGTGTACGGTGTATAAGTTGTTCCACAGTATTCAACAAATATGCAATGCACAAACACTAGCGGAAAAGGCTGCTTTGTCCTTTGTTTGCTTTTGTTTGTTCAAGAGTTATTTTCCAGCTATTATAAGTGCTTTTATTCTACAAGTATATTAAATGGTTGTGGAGATATTAAGTTAATTCCATATCTATTTCAGAAAGAATAATCTTATCCTGCATTTCGTAGTTGCCATCAGTTACTGCTTTTAAAATTATTCCTGTAAAGTAAACCCTTTGTTAACGAAACTTGCTCCAACTCTCGGTGTATGCCGTGATGAGCGCGGAGTTTTCGCATTGTGTTCCGAATGTCTTTACTTCTGCTCATCAATATTCTAATACTACATTGTAATATGTACATATAACTTTTCAAGACTTAAGAATAATCTGAAAAAATATGCTGATTGATTAAAATTTTTAATTAATATCCAGCCGCGCATTTATTTATGATAGCTGTCCAAGTGAAGTGTAAAAGTGCAAGTCTTTTCAAGAGGCAATTGCTTCAAATTTCTTCCCTGACAAATTCCCCTCATTTAGGGAATATTTTTAATTGGGGATTTCGCAAATGTCAAGCCTTAAATGGAAATCCTTAAGGTACTAGTAAGAGCAGGGAAAATATTTCCTGCTGTAAGACGAAAGTATAAAATTAATGGGCAGAAAAGAGACAAACAGGGAGCCCTAAATGGAGATCGTAGATGAAATGAATGTTTCTCAAAGTGTCAGATCAGTAACTTAGAAATGCTTTTTTAAGTGGTGGATTAGACTGCCTGATCAAGGAAAACAAAGGTCAACAGCTGGCCCCAGAGACAGTTTTCTCTCATTGTTGGCTGGAAGAAACTGAGAATGGACAACAAAATAATTGGTTATAGACTTTCAGGTTGCTACAGGACTTCAAATAAACCATTCTACTGTTGAAAGACGGTTTAATGACGCTGGTATTATGCAAGAAAACCAATGATTGGTGTCTCACAGCTTCATTTTCCTGAAGATATCGTTTAAAGATGTCATTGTCATGTTCCGTTCAGTCAGTGAAATCATGTATTGTTTATTGATATGTGCAGATAAAACTCATGAACGCTGATTCTAGATGTATTCTGATCTAGAGGGAAAGCACACAACTTGTCTGCTATTGTTCATGAAAGTTTTTATCGTTTCCACTGAAGTTGCTTCATATTTAGGGTAGAATCATCAAAAAGGGCCATACCAAGCTACATATTTTAATGGATGTCGGGAAACTGTTCACAGATACGTGGACAAAGTTTTGGAACTTCATATATGTCTATTTAGGTTCCCTGTGTTTTGCTAGTTAATACAATTCTCGCCCGTACTGAGCATTTAGTATCAAAATGCTAGGAAACGGAACATATCACTCGAATACACTGGTCAAATTACTCACTAAAATTGGACAAATTTGGTCATGTGTGAGATTGATGAGAAACTGCATCGGACCAAATGCTTACCCATATTCTCCAGGATCTGAAAAGGAAACTTACAGGAAAGTGACAGATTTTGCTAAATTCTATGAAATCAATATGTAAGATTTGGATTTGACTGTTCACCAAATGACTATACTCAACATTAAAGAAATATTTATTGCAAAATTGAAGAGATGTTTTTTAAATTTCCATAGACTTGATTTTAAATGTAATATTTTGTATTGAATAAATTGGCCTTATTTAACCGAATTTCCATTGGCAAACATGGAAAATTATGTTACATAATACCTTTGTACATACAGTTCTTAATCATTCTTCAATAAGTTTCATTTAAAGTTAAATATTATTTTATTTTTAGTTCTTTAAGTCTAATAATTTATCTTAATAATACATTTCATGCATATATGATATAAAAAAATTAATTAGTGAGACAACCATCAGATTAATAATTGATGCTCATTACAAATTTAAATATAAAAAAATAATGCAAGAAGCACTAAAACCACTTACCCTTTTTAAAAGCTTTTTGGGAAACAAAATTTTTAACATACTGTACAAAGTGTTAAAAAACTTTGGTACGTTCACCATATGGATGCTTTTAATTCGACTAGGAAGACAACGCTGAAATTAAACAAATTATTCAATTTTAAAATGTGAATTTATTTTATATAACAACTACTATATGAGTGACAGATGCTACTGTTGTCTCAAAATATTTTATATATGATTAGAACAGTTCTAAAATTGGAATTGTACCTAGAAAAATTCTAGGTAATTTTACACATCGTAATTTTACACATCGTTTCTAATAATCTTGTAATATGTAATTTATAATACATTCAGCAAAGAAATAACATGACTTTTGGTTTATAGTGTGTCTGCTTCTATAGAAGAAGAAGAATTATATACATATCGTATATATACTGAAGAAACATTACATTATGGCCATCCTCCATCTATAACAATGGGCTTGACAAGGAACAAAAACCACTGCGCGTGCGCGGCTGACGTATATAAAGCGGTTATCCATTGTCTTTTCAAACATTTCGCATCATTATGGTGGTACAGTTATGAACAGCCGTTATGTATGAGGCCCCAGGTGGGACTCCGTGATAAGCTCTGGTAAGAGCAGCATAAATTCCTGCTGAACACCAGAATAAGCAAAGCATGAAAGCATCTTCTAATCATAGCGCGATTAGCGACATAATGGGACAAGCAGCTGATTTATCCGACTTCGATAAAGGTCAAATCGTTATGGATCGGCGACTAGGAGCGTCATATTCAGAAATGACACGTTAAATGGGCACATATTGAAAGTCTTTTGTGAGCACATATCGAAAGTGGTGTATGGATTGGTAAAACCAGAAGTCGCAGGCCAGCAGTGTGTCGTTGACAGCGCATTTATTCCAGCGGTGAGCGGAGAGATTGATACGCATTGTTAGCCATAACCGAAGAGCTATAACAACCGAAATCACCACCAGCTACAACAGTGGCGACCCAGACAATGTTTCGCAACACACTGTGCAGCGCACATTGCTTAATATGGGCCTACGCAGTGGGAGGCCGAAGCACGTCCCTGCACTGACTATAAGCCGAGAAACATCGGAAATGGGCATTAGAAAAAAGGAAGAAAATTGCATGGTCCGACAAATCCCGTTTTCTGGTTCATTACATCGACGGGCGTATGCTAATAACCCGATTTCCAAACGAAACCCTGGCTCCCGGATTTACAGTTGGGCGGACACAAGCCGGTGGCGGGGGTATTATGGTGTGGGCAATGATTTCATAGAGCACATAATCCCCCATAATCCCCATAGATACCATAATCCCCATAGAACAATCCCTGACGTCTGTGCGCTACGTGAACATCTTTGCAGACCACGATCAGCCATTCATGACAACAGTATTTCCGGCGGGGGATGGTGTTTACCAACAGGATAATGCTCCATGTCATAAGGTGATAATCGTCAGGGAACATTCCACTGTTATTCAAATCATGTCTTGGCCTCTAAATTCACGTGACATTAATCCAATAGAGCAGGGGTTCCCAAAGTGTGCGCCACGGCGCCCTGGGGCGCCGTGATGTAAAGCCAGGGAAGCCGCGAAGCGCGCCCTTCCTTGTTTCAGGAAGAAACAAAAATTGCGTTGAAAGCTCGGCCATATTTTTTATTAATTATACTTTCATTAATTTTATTCTATTTCTTAAAATAATAGTTCCTTAAATTTTTCTCTGTATTTATATTTCAGATGGTTCAATTCCATTTGAATTATACTATTTTTAACATTTTTATTTCTCCTTTTCATCTAAAGTAATTCTTGCTCTCAATTTCTTTTTTTAAAGCGCTATTTTGTTCTGTCACTTGGTGTTTTTTTGTTTGCAATAATTCTATGTTATTGCATCAGATTGTATTCGATTATTCTCATATTTTTTGTACTTATTACTTCCTTTGTGTTGGATTATTCTCATATAGTTTTGTACCTATTACTTCTTGTCACATGATTGCTCTTAGTAGTGGCTTCTGTTGGCGCTCCTTTTTTTCCGTTACGACCGTTAGCATCAAACTCAGGAATGGTTGGAGAAGGTTGTACAGTTTTATAGGTCTAATAAAAAAAAGTCGTGATCGCGCGAAATATTGCAAAAAATCGACGAATCCATACTAATTCACAAAACGAAAAGATTTTTATTAAACAAGCAAACAGATACTAACGATAGGTCAAGTTTGAGTGACAAGGTTTCGACAACTAGCGGAGACTAAAATAGGGGAAAATGTCTCAACTATAAGGAAAGTTACTTTGTTTTTACTTCAGAAGAAGTAAACAACGATGGCAGATGTATGGACCCAAGTAAACTAAAGGGACATTCTGAGACCACCCTAGCTTGTTCGACAAATCTCGCACTTTTTTTATTAGGCAATTGCAAGATTTGCAAAAGCAAAGCAGTGTATTCACTAAGCAAGTGTCAGTTCTAAGTAACGCACAGCTAGCGTCTTTCAAACCTCATAGAGTGATGCATTGCAAAAAGCTGCACAATGCCGCAAAAGAGCTGCTATCGACATATTTAATATTATGGTGCGGAAACTCATTTCTAAGGTACCTGTACCCAACAACAGTGATAGAATTCAATGTATAGCTCGTATGTACGAAGAATTCAATGTAAAGCTCAGAATCTGAATGATCAAGAAAATGAAAGAAAATGAACTTTGTTTGCAGCCTGATGAGTCTACTGATAGTAAAAACGATGCAAATACAAATCTTATACATCACGCACGCTTCCTGGATAATAATGTTGAAGATCTGTTCTGTAAGAGCATCATCGGAAGTGCAGAGGCTTACTCAAAATGCTTGACAATTTATAATGGAAAATGATTTAGATTGAAGAAAGTGGATCTGTGTATGTACTGATGGTTTTCAATCGATGTACGGTTGCAATGCGAGATTACAGGCATTTATTTGCAACGAAACATCGCACGCTGTGTTGACCTACTACATTATCTACTGGGAGCCATTTGCATCGAAGTCGCTTAGTCCTCAGTTGAGTATGCATTAGATTGTGTCATAGACGTAGGAAAATACATAAAAGCCAGAGAGCTGAAAGCAATTTTTTTTTCTAAAATCTATGCAAGGCTATGGAAGCTGAACACACGGCTATGCTATGCTATTGCAGTTCACGATGGCTTTCGAGTAACAACGCCCTATTTCGTGCGTTCGGACTTCATCGAAAAATTCACACTTTTCTGCAAGAGGACGGTCATGCAATCGCTAAGAATTTTGCCGAACCAGACTTTTTGCTAACACTAACATATTAGGGGGACATTTTCGTCAAACTAAAGGTCTCGAATCTGTCACTACAAGGCAAAGTATGCACATCTTGAAACTTGTAGAAAAGATATCAGCGTTTAGGCAAAAGCTGCAGTTGTGGATAAAAAAACTGAATGACGATAGTGTTCAAGATTGTTTTTCTACATTGTACCAATACACAACTTCTAATAAAGTCCTCTATAGGAATTGCTGTCGTTTTTCATGGAACATTTTTCAAAGCTCACTGACTAGTTCGAAAAATACTTTGCGGAAGATAATATAGAGAAATTTATGTTGGTCTAAGATCCTTTTCATTCGCAAGACGAAGAGAGTTTAATTAGAAGTTTTGGATTTCAATCAAAATTGAACATTCTAAGCTCTAACGGTCCTTATTCTCTTTAGAACATCCTATCTGTGCGAAGCTTAATTTTCAGCTATCGCTCTAATAAACACCAAATATCGTTCGAAAATCAATCAAAATTGAGTATTCAACTTTAAGTTCTAAAGCTCTAAGGGGTTCTCATTTTCTTTAGAAATTCCTATTTGCCATACCTCAGACTACCTGTGGAGTCAATGCCACGCTGGGTGCTGGCAGTTTTGAGGGCTCAAGTTGGTCCTACATATTGATAACAGGCTGGTCAGAATGTAATGGCTCTTCGGTGTGTATACAATTTCTCTCCTCAAAAATATAATGAGAATTCAATGTTAGCAGGTATTGAGAGGAGTAAAAAGTCCTAAAATTTACTTTGTGTTTTTCCTAGTTATAAAATTTCTTTTAAATTATGTTAAATAATTTCAGTTTATTAATGGTCTGAAATCAGATTATCAAATTCAAGTGTTTTAGAGTTCACTTACCAAAACTTCAACAAGAAAGTAGAGTTGATACGGATGCGCTAGTGACTGGAGCATCTCGAATGACAGATTTTTGAAATCGCAAATCAAAACGACGCCACTCACTTGGAAAGCTTCTATGTCGTTTGTCGCTAAGCCCATGCACAAAACTGCAGCATATAGTTTTTCAGCTGTAAAAGCTTTCAGGTCGTGATAACCTAAAAATAACCTAATCAGTAGTAAATAATTAAAGTTCATTAAGAAATCAAAACGTTTCATTGCTTTTGAATAAAATTAGTAATAGAAATGAGAATTAGTAAACAGAAATAAGAAGTTTGTCGTAAGAAAAAGCATAAACATTCTAGTGGTGAGTTAGTTTGGAGTACAGTTATGTTACACTGGCTCTTACTAACATTAATCCAGTTAACTTTACTCTAATCCATTTTTTTTTCTTTTTAGATTTATTATTAAGAATAATTTTCTTCGCCCTACGCCATGTACAGTTCAGCAAAATTACAAAGATCTTAAAAGCAGCATAGCATATACGTTCTAGAATTCTCGATTGCAGTGTTAAGTATTGGCATATATTTTTCTTTTTTTTAAAGCCCAAAGATGCCAAAATTGCCCAGAAGAGCTATTTATTTCGTTTTGACATTTTGCCTTGGTTCACTAGAAACGGCGTTTCACTTTCCAAATTGTTGCCACAAAATATTAACGTCTTGCATTATATTTAAATAAAGTAAATAATGTAGAATCTGTATGAATATATGTAAATTTCTCGCACTGTGAAAAACCACTGGTACTTTCAAACATCAAATTATGTACGTCTCCACCCGAAATGGGCATCTGGAAGACCTAATTTGGAATTTGCTTTTTTTTTTTTTTTATCTATGCCATATTTGTATTTTTTGTATGAATTTTTGATTAACAAACTCAAAGATTTCAAAGCGAGCAATGGCAACAGTGTACGAAAAAATAATTTTTTAATCTCCGGTGTGCGAGTCTGCGTATCGGAAATTCTAAAGATTTGCTCTTTTTAAGTTGTTTTCTGATATTGCTGTTGAATTGAATTTTATGGTTTAAGTGAGAAGAACTTGGTATTTAGTAAATAAAGATAAGACACAAAACTTAAAAAAAAAACGCCCCTTTTGGGGTAAATAAAATCTGAAAGTTTTCAGATTTTGTTCCCAATCTTTTCGCAGTTCATCATATCAATGTTCAGCTTTCTTACTAAGATGGTTTTACAAAACTTTTTTTTGTATTTTATTATTAATGTTTTATGTGTTTATTTTATTTATTAAAAATCAGTTCTTGGCACTTACGCCACATTCAATTCGATTCAACAGCAAGATCGGGAAATATTTAAAAACAGCATATGTTTAGAATTTCCGATGGATATTCTCACGCACTGAAGATAAAAATGTTTGTGTGTCACAGCTCGTTTTGAAATTTTTGAGTTTGCTAAACAAAAATTTGTTAAAGTTTTACAAAATGTGAAATAGGTAATAAAACAAATTAAAAATTCGGGCTTCCAGATGCCCATGTTCGAGGGAAGGACTATGCTAGTCGAATTTTGATGGTTCCAGGTACGTTGGTTCTTGATAATGCGAGAAACATGAGTGCATTCGTGCAGATTTTTCATTATTTAATTTCTTTAAATAATTTCTCGAAGAGGGCGATAATATTTGATGCCAACAATTTGAAAAGTGATACGCCGTTTATAGTAATACAATGTAAAGTGACGTTTCGAGATTAATATCGCATTTGGGGCTAATTATAAGAAAAAGTCTCCTTTACTATTTAACTAAAATTTCTATGGCTTACTTTTGAAGATGCAATAAGCACTGTATTTTTAAGTGAGTTTATGAATAATTAAGTGTGCAATGTCTGCATAACCCATACAGTAATGTTGCCTTATTCGTGTTGTAATCACGTGTACGTTTTACTAAGAGGGAAAAACTGCATTTCTTTGAAGAAATTACAGTCTATCTTACGTTAAGATACGGATGATAAGTTATGACAGCAACACATACATTTAATTCATATATTTTATTATTTGAAGCCACCTCGATTTCTCATCTAAGAGTGGTTCCTAATTTTCCTATTCAGTAATAAACCAATATTAAAATCAGGAATGTAATAAAATTCAATGAATGATATTTCTTATACTTTCCCTCTACTTCAACGTAGGATGAATAATTACTGAACTGAACCGCTTGAATAAACCGCTCCCAGGCTTTTGGAAATGAGTGAAGTATCCTGCGCTCTCTAGGACACACTTCACTTCTGAAATGGAGTCTTATAACGACTACGGGAAAGCGACGATGGAACTAATAAGAGATGGCAGCTTGGGCCAAATCTAGCAACCCTGTCTTTCCTTGCCATTTTCTGGCAACCCTAAGCCTGCTTTGTGGGGAAGCTATCTTACTACAGCTGGGCATTTCGCAATAATATCTCAATGTACAAGTATATTTATGTTTTTAATTAACTGCTTTTGGTGTATTCGAATGCCTAGGCATATGTAATGCCTATTCGTATGCCTATTTGCTATGGTGAACGTGACATTAAGAACTTTCTTTTAAGACGCAGCTGGAGCGATGAGAAATTCTTAATCTTTAGGCTTGATAAGAAAAATAGAAATATAACACCAGCTGGCCTCCCATTCTACAACAATCCGACAAAATATCTCTTTCTAACTGATGGCAATAGTTAATAACATTTAACTTGCCACTGATAACATTTGAAGGTTCATAATCGTAAATCTTAAGCTAATTGTCTGACTATCTTCTCGAAGACCTGTAATAATGCGAAATTTACTAAATTTTAGGGAAACATTTAAAGCAGAAACTACAAATGCAATTAAATTTACAAAATGGTATGACAGATAGTCGAATGCTTGCTGTTTTTAATTAATATTAAAAAACACTTACTGAAGAACAAGCTCCTCATCCATAGAAAGAACTATCTGCTTTAAAGCAAATATCCCATTGTTTGTTCTCCCATCAATAAAATTCCGAGTTCCATACTCAAGGACCCCATTCCGGATATGAATTCTTGGGGTATTTATAGGATTCCTTGCCAGTGTGGTTTTATTTACATTGGCCAAACTAGGAGAGCCTTAAAATTTCGCGTCAAGGAACATGAGGCATATGTTAGAAAAAAGGAAACACAGAAGTCTTCTGTTGCCCAACATTGTTGGTCCGAAAATCACACTTTCAATTTTTCTGCTGCCAAAATTATTCAAAAAACATCTTCCATCGGAGAACTGGATTTTCTAGAGGCATTTCACATTCATAAAAATCTTTCTGTTCTAGTTAACGATCCTAATTCCAATCCAAATTTGCCTTCGGCCTTTAAGGAAATTATGTTTTAGTTCTGGTTTCGCCAACAGATGGCGCCACTTGCTTATTCTTGTCCAGGCTTTCTTATCTTATCTAATTATTATTTCCTATCTTGTTCATTTGCGGTTTTGCAGCTGAAGATGGTGGTTCGGTAAAACCATCGAAACTAGTCCTGTGAAAATTTTGAAAATATAACGTTGATTTTTTTTGTTTGACTTCTGAATTAGTATTTATTCGGCGTGTTATTGTGTCTTAATCAAATATCCCATATTTAACTGGAGGCATAGTATATAAAAGTTGTAAATAAAAATTGCATAAATACAATGTCCATTTTCAAAATTAGGGTAAAAAAATCATAACAGCAATGCAAGATAAATCTAGAAGAGTATAACCAGCAGTATTTGGATCAAATATATCCCCGTGGGTTCACGTACATACAAGGTGAAGAAACATGATTTGGTTATTTACTATCACTTCTTACAAGAAATACGAGATAGAATTCTTCACTAACATGATATACAATAAATATTTTTACCTAATCTCAAAATTCCTAAATTGCAACCATCAGGATCTCTCAGTGGCATTACAGTCAAGTGATTCAACTCCAGTACATTCACGAGATCTGAAGGCTTGACATCAAGATACACACCAGAATGTTTCTCTTTAAGCCTATAGAAATCATACAGTGCTTTGAATGCTTTCTGAACATTGAATTTTGACCATCTAAGGAACGACATCAGAAAAATGTTCTCCATGAAAGGCTCAAAATTAGACTTTTCTGCGAAAGATAAACAAATAATAAAAAATAAACAGGTTATTCAAAATTTATCACGGATATAAATTTAAAACTTAATTTTTGGAACAAATAGCATTTCAGACATATTGTAATAGCTTATTCTTAATTAAAGGAGAATACTAATGAAAAGACAGTAAGTGAATTTATAATATATTTTCTCTGTCCTTCCTACTTGCCTCCGTGGTGTAACTAGATAGCACGTTCATTTAGCATCGGGTGATCCTGTGTTCGAGACCATAGCTCATTTTTCAAGTCTTTTTTTTTTTTTTTTTTTTTTTTTTTTTTTTTTTTTTTTTTAAAGCAACCACCATTGGTACCAGAGTCAGAGAGGTGGTGGACGATAATTCATCACCACTCGGATTTTACGATTGGGTGTCCTCGCCCTTTAAAAGAGGGGAGTAAATAAAGAATCATTTCTGACTCCTCTCCGCGTGCCTTCGTGGTTTACTGAACAGCATGTCCGGCTAGCATTGGGTGGTCTGGTTTTTGAAGGCCGGCTAGGGCACTATATATTTTTCACGTTTGATTGAAAATAACCTAATGACACTCTACAGATTCACTAAATTGTTAATAAAAGTACCTAAAAATAATAAAATATTAAAAATAGTTTTTATATACGCATATATGTGGGGGCATATTCTTCGACTCCCTTTGCTTCTACTTCTACCCAGCAAGGCATGACGTCATCGCATCTTAGCACAGCGCGGAGCAATCGAGACAACGCCCAGATAGCTTTAAGAGTTGGTGGGAAACAAGACGTGTTCCTTTAAAATCTCAAGTTCCCTGTAACCAAGCTGAAATGTCGAGCTAGCCATATGAGGGCAGACGTGCCTGTAGAACTGTTAGAGACTGATGATGTGAGAGAAATATTCACCGTTACATTAATCGACTTCTGTTTGGACTGAGACTAATTGTGAGGTTACCACCTGTAACATTCACTTTCACCCAATTTATCTTTTCATTCATTTTATTTCATATTACAAAAATAAAGCTAGTTATGTTTAAGCCGTGATGTACTATGTTCTTATTAAGGGTGATCTTACATATATATATATGCACATATTGTATGCAGTGAAATTACTCACAACAACCTTCTGTAAATGACTATCTCTGAAATATTATCAGCATTTCTTAGCACATAAGGATACCAAACAAAAGCTGACATTGAATATCGCCTCTCTGAGGAAATAACCTGACAGAATACCACAATTATCTAGAGTCATGAGTGATTCAGACTGCATTGCATGTAAAATACGGTATTTTTAAAGTATTACACGTAAAATAAACGAATAAAATCAAATCAATAAAGTGAAAAAAAAAATGTTACCCTATGCGAGCTCCATGTCACAATATTGAAGTAAAAGCAAACGACATATTGACTCTTGTCAGAACTTATGATAGTATAAGAATTGCGGAATAATTTTAGAATTTTGGCAGTGATTTATGTAGAAAGAGAAAACAAAAGAAAATAGTTGGAAAAAAACAAAGCAATATAAAATTTAAAATTAGGCAAAAATGTAACTATAAAAGGGGGAGTATATTAGGGAGTATATCCGCGCGCCTTCGTGATGTAAATGGACAGCACGTCCGGCTAGCATAGGGAGATTTGGTGTTAGAATCCCGACGAGAGCTTCGCGTCTCCTGCTTCAAAATAACCTAAAAGTATCGTAACTTAAAGTGGCATACATTTGGAATAAAACTCTCACTGATATGAAGAGAACATGACATATATCCCTTCTCTCCAGAAAAATATATTTTGTCTCATGAAGCAAAATAACTAGATTTTTCTCCATTTTTCCTGCATGAAATTTTACTTTTATAAATTCAAGGAATTTCATTAGACATATTTTTTTATGTTGTTTCCTTATTTTACCCTACATTTCATCCCGAAAGTGAATATTGACTTTCATCCATTTTCTCTTTTTGTCATTAAACTACTTGGTTAAAATTCAGTTTAGAAATTCTTTATTACTGTTCGTTGTGATGAATTTACTACGTATTTGTATATAGCATTGTAAATGTATGCAAATATTTTCCTTCATTTAGCTGTATTTTGGTTTCATATTTTTATTTCTTTGTTTGTTGATTTGGTGCATGTTATGAAATAATTTTAGTATGCGTTTTTATTTAATTCAGCTCCGTGTTTGGAACTGTTTATTTCGCGCATTATGTTCTAGATCTCCTAATTTTCAATCGATCTAGGTTTAAATTGTGAAGATAGTTCAGTTATAAATAAATGCAGAAACGAAAATTATCATATCACGCCTTAGCGACAATTTCGTCGCCAGTTTGGCAATTTCTCTTGACATTTTAGACAATTTCTCGCGACATTATTCTGACGACAGTTTAGAATTTACCAGAATTCTCACTTTTGAGAATCTAGCTCAAATTTACCTCAAAGCTTCCAAAAGTCCTATAGTATAAGCTGCGTGTGAGCCGTGAGAGTTAGCTCGAAACTATGAGTTAATACCGAACTCCTTCTCTGTGGTTATCGCTTAGAGTTTACTCTGTGAGTGACATTACTGATTTGCGATATTTTTGCTTGTTCGTGAGATTTTTCTTTATTTCTGTTCTTTTCTTTGAGCTGTTTATAGGGGTTTACTACGAGCTGCTATTTATTTCGATAAAATTTCCATATCTTTTTGTTTTCGTGGTATAGTGATTAAAGTTATCTCTAAAAATCCATAGCTCTCAACAATATGCAGAGCTTAGCGAAATTAATAAGCAATAAGAATCTGCATAACATGAGTTAATAGATATAACTGGACTTCAATATTCTAACACTAGAAAACTTTCCCTTCCCTTTTTAGGTCATTTTAAGATTTTGAAGCAATATTCTGAAGTTACTTTTGAAATTAATAAATCAAATTTCCCCAAAAGAGGAAAATGAAAAATTACGCATTCCACTAAATTGGTACTGTCTAACCCTGCAAATTAAATGAGGCAAAAAAGGAAATGCAGAAATATTGCACATACATAATTTTTTAAAGTAGATTCAAAGACGTGCAATACAGTACTCAGGCGTTTTGGAAGTGCATGGATACCTCGAGAGAAGAATTCCCATTTGGATGGTATTTATAGTCCTCCTTGCACGCGATTTTCAGCTCTTCGTGTCTTTGGAAATGTTTGGCGCCCATCGTCTCTTTCAGACATCAGAACGCATAAATGTCACATTAAGCGATGTAAAAATCTGAATGTCTCACACATGCAATTTATTTGTACGGAAGGTGTATGTGTCAGACATTCAGATTTCATATTTTGAACTGCTGCAGTCGTTAAGCATACAGTATGCTGTCAAACATTCTCACGGATACGAATTTTTTTAACCAATGTTGCCAAATTGTCATTCATTCATAATTGCAAGATGAAGATAATTTTAGAGCAGTTCTGCATTCAAAATACTTACTTGGGCGAAGTTACGTGGACGAGTCAGACTCGTCCACCGTAACTTCACCCAAGTAAGCAGGTGACGAGTCCCACTCGTCAAGCGTACCCAAAGGATTAAAGCACATTTAAATTTTACTTAAATAAATCAGAGAGAGAAACCATTTATTTTATCTTCTTGCACATAAACACTGTGCTCTACATGAATTTTTAATTTAGAAGCTATGGCTTATCCATCACTATCTTATAAATTAAAACTAATCAGTATGTTTTAATACTTCACCATTTTCATCTCTGGTTTCAAACTCTTCATCGCTCTTCACAATCTCACTATCAGTAGTATGAAATGAACTTTAATGAAATAAGATTTAATTTCTTTTGTGGATAATTCATTATTGAATGATGCGAACTCCTCAACATTTACATTATCAATTATTTACTAAGTTAGAGAGTTCACTCTCTAAATTCTCTAGTTTACATTTTTTCATTTTTATCAGAAATTTAGAAGGGTGAGAAGAACTGTTTAATAAAACCAACTTTTATAAATTCTTTTTCATACGTCCTCTTTCCTTTTGAATCAAGAGCTAAAACAGTCATACTTATCTCAAAAGTGATAACAATCGTAGTTTTGCACACTTGAATTTTTCTGAAATCTTATTATCTCTTCTTTTCGTTAAAAAAAACATATTTTGAATTAATGGTTCAGAGATAAGAAAACAGTCTCTTACCTTAAGAGTTTATTAGGTTCTATAGTGTTCTGAAAAGATTAGAATAGATACTTGTCAACATGTAAAATGAAATGGTCAGCATTTTTTTTTTTTTTTTTTTTTTTTTTTTTTTAGTTTCTCAAATATCAGTTTAAAGATATGGTGTGATAAAAAATCACATTCAGTAGTTTAGATAAAAGGATGGAGACTACAAACTCATTCCATGTTATTCTTTCTCTTGTTACTTATCTCAATGATCATGTTCTATCATAAAATTACTGTGCTGATTGATGTACGTATGTATGGCGCACTGTTAGTGCGCGGAAATATAAAGGCTATGTTGCTAGAGTTATCAATGAAATTCCATTCGTTATAATAACTCGCGGTTTTTTGAACTAATAAGCATTAGTTGCGAAAACGTGTGGTGAAAAGCTTGCTGTATCTTTTTAACAGATCGCAAAAATGGTAGTTGAATTTTACGAAACAGATGCAACTTACATTTTTGAATATTGCTCTTAGAATTGAGATGGTTATCATGAGTCAGCGTAATGAGTGTGTAGGGTTTACGTTACTTTTCTAAGAGCTATTTTCATTTTGGAACTAGTCTTTCCTTTATCTTCTCATTTCCCACCTACGTTTCCCTACCAGAATGAGGTTTCATGGTTTCAATTTATGCAAATGAGGTAGAAACGAATATTTAAGCTGAAGGTCTGGGTCACTTCAGTAGAAACGTCGCTGATGTTTTTCACTTCCGCCAGACCCGTTTGGGACTTATTAAGGAACTGGTAAGATCAGGAAAATAAATCTTCTGTTGTGGAGCAGTATGTTACAAAAGTATACTTCAGTAGAAAAGTGTATTCTGTTTTTCGGTCACGTCGTTGCTTCTAGTCT